CAAGAGCCATCCGTGCTCGAGGAAATGCTGCCTCTGCTCGGGCGTGAGGAACTTGTATTCCACCATCTGGCTTTCTTCTTGTCCCTGATTCGACTCGGGAGTTGGGTTGCGGTGCGGTGCGGTGCGGTGCGATGGGCGGGGTACTAGTGTACTTGAAGGCGCTGGGAGGGTGGAGTGCGCGATTGAGGTCTGGGCTGGCACTATATCCTTTCAGGACAGACAGAGGAGGTCGGGCGCTCGGGACGACCCCGGGGAATCGGCCTCCACACGCACGCACGCACCCGCGGGAGTCACATAAGGCAGGTACGGTGCGTACGGTGCGAGAGGTCGCGAACCAGGCGGCGCGCGGGGGGACTCACGGAAGGCGAGGCGGCAAGCTTGCCGACGGTCTGGCCGGTGGAGGCACAGGGCCCGGCGCCGTCATGACGCGCTATTTTGGGATTGACTTCGCAGAGTGCCAAGCCAGACGGCTCAGAAGCGGCCGCGCTCGCCGGGGGAGCGGAGCAACTCGTTGGTCCGCTGGTTCTCACGTTCAGAAGTGGACTGGCTAGTCTTGGGCAACAGATGAGAGCAGGGAGAGCGGAAAGTGGAGCGGCCGGTGCACCGAAACTCTTCGTTCTGGAATCGGACGGTGCCTCTCATCGGGATTCACTCAATGTTCAGCATCTTGACGCGTGCATCTGGCCATCATCTGCCATCAAACACTGCACTTGCGCTGAAGCCTGACGACCGATCGCCGAGCGCATCAGCTGGCGAACCCGGCCTCTTTCATCCAGGCCAGACATGGTTCCAAGGTTCCAAGGTCCCGCGACCGCCGAGCTCCATATCTCCTGCCGCGCTTCTGCGCTCTTCGAGGCAACTCCCCGCCCGACCGGGGCGCTATCCCCTGCTCTGGCCCGCGGTGTTCCTCACGTCGCCATTACGCAACGGCGATCGGCCCTCTCCGACTCGAACAGATCTTGTGTGCTCGCGTCCCCTCCCTCGGCGAGCGCTGAACATCTAAAGGGCGGCCCGCCCGCTGCAGCGTGACCAGGCTGGGGCCGCTCGCGTCCCCTCCGTTGGCGACATCATGTGCCGGCGCCCCTCCTCGCACACCACGCATCGATACGCAGATGCGGCCGATGCCGTCGTCGGTGCCTTTACCCTGGGCTTGCAGCCGGTCTCTATAAAGCCCTTCGGACTGCGAGCCAGGGGGCATACTGTAGCGGCCCAGCCCCCCCCAAGATGAGGTTGTCCCTCGGCCTGCCCACCCTGCGCCTGCCCCTCTTCGCCCTCCCCACCGCGCCCACCCTGCCCAACCCGAACCCGCTCTCCCCCTCCCGCCGCCTCACCCTCACATTCCTCTTCACGCCCGTCCCCATCCCCGCCGACCTCTCGCTCGAGCACGTCCTCGGCGACACCCTCTGCCCGCCCGTCTCCCTCGCAGACTTCCACGCGTTCCTCAGCCGGACGAGGGAGCAGGAGAACCTCGCATTCGTCCTCTGGTTCAGGGACTACGAGAAGCGCTTCTGGGAGCTCGACGAGGCGCAGCGGGCCGGCGTGCAGCTCGTGGAGCCCAGGGAGGAGTGGGAGGCGTATGTAAGGCGCAAGGCGGAGGACAGGAGGAGGGAGGGGCTGGAGAAGGGGCCGACCGGGAGCGAGCGGACCGGCCTGCCTGAGGGTAAGGCAGAGGGAGACGGGCCAAAACCGTGGGAGAGCATCGACCTGAACGCGCTTGAGGCGGGGCCGGCCGAGGAGCTCGTCTTCGCGGGGGAGAACGTGCTCACAGAGGAGCAGGAGCAGGAGCCGGCGCAGGTCGACGCGGACACCCTCGCAATCGCCCCGTGGATTGTGGAGGAGGCGGAGGAGAGCGACAAGGCACGGATGAGGGAGATGATGGCTGGTGCGGAGCAGGAGCTGGAGAAGACGGTGCAGCTGCTGATGCGGGATGACCTGCCGCTGCGGGAAGAGGTGCGCGGCACAGTTCCACTTCTCTGCCAGTGCCGCCGTGCGCGGGCCCGGCCGCATGAGCAGCCGCTGACCACCGCGCAGATCGTCCGCGCCGTGCTGCACTTTCTCACGCTCTCCTCGCCCTCCGCCCTGACCTCAGCGCACATCCCGGCCCTCCTGCTGACCCTCCGCCGCACGACGCACCCCTACTCCTTCCGCCTGCTGTACCAGGAACTGTACACGCACCTGCTGCTCGACGCGCACCCGCGCTTCATCCGCGCCTCGCTCGTCAACACCCGCGCCCCCTTCCGCGCATGCCTGTACGTCATCGCCCTCGGCTTGTACCTCGGCGGCGGGCTCGCCCTCGGGCTGGCGCTGGTGCTGTGCCCGGGCGCGGGCGGGCTAAGCAGGGCCTGGCGGGCCTTCAGCGTCCCCCTCGTCTGGGCAGGCACAGCCAGCCCGCTCTGCCTGCTGAACGGCATCTGCCCGCTGGCCTTTGGCACAAAGCGCCGCCAGCTCTCCCTCTGGGAGTCGCGGCCCGCCGCCGCACCAGGCCCGACCCGGCCCACCTCGGCCTCCAGCACCGCCGGCTCGCGCTCGCTCAAGCGCCAGTCCACCGCGCGCGCGAGCACCAGTGCCAGTGCCAGTGCCAGTGCCAGGCCCGCGCGCGTAGGCCTGCTCGAGTTCCTCGTGCATGACTGGTGGGCCACCCACCCCGCGGCGAGGGAGATGCAGTGGGCGGTCATGCGCGCTGCGGCTGCCTGGGGCGCGCTGGGCATGCTCCTCTGGGCGGGGGTCATCCTGGGCGTGCCGGCTAGGGGGTGAGCGGTGCCGTGCGCTGTATTGTAGGCGCAAAGACGCTGCGTCGTTGAATAATACCACTTTTCGTTTGCATTTGACCGCATACACGCGATGAGAGCGCGCGTAAGTTCCAACTCACTGACCAGCGCTGCGAAGGCGCTCGAAGGACCGGGACGGAAGCATATCCCGCCCGCCCTTTGTAGCTCGGGTAAGCCTCGACAGCAAGCAAGCAGGAGCCAGGGCGCACGGCCTCCACACCCTATCCCTATCCCTACCTATCCCTATCCCCACCGCGCACACCTCCCCCCCCGCCTCCGCACCACACATACCATAGACTGCCATCATGCTCAAGGTGTGTAATACCCCGTGCGGCACTGGGGTGAAAGATGATGCTGAGGATGAGGATGACGGTGCGTAGATCTGGTCCATGAAGAAGAACGAGGAGACGGCGGCGAAGAGGAAGCCAAAGGTGTCCGCCGCGCAGATCAGGCTGCAGAAGGGTGCGCCCCCCCCCCCCCCCCCCCCCCCCCAACTACGCCGCGGGCATGCTGACACCGGTCCCCGGAGCAGACCTGACGGAACTGGAGGAGTTCAAGACGATGACGACGGACTTTCCGGACCCGGCCGACCTGCTCCATTTCAATCTTATAATCACGCCGGATGAGGGTGGGTCACCGCCCTGCACGGGCTGTCGCAGTGCCAGTGCGCTGACGCGTGCGTGCACAGGGTTCTACAAGGGCGGCCGGTTCCTGTTCTCGTTCAATATCAGCAGCAACTACCCGCACGAGCCGCCAAAGGTCAAGTGTATGCAGAAGGTGCGTGTGCACCGGCCGGCGCGACAGTGCCTGGCGCTGATTGGCCCGCAGATATACCACCCGAACGTCGACACCGAGGGCAACGTCTGTCTGAATATCCTGCGCGAGGACTGGAAGCCCGTGCTGAACCTGAACGCCATCCTCGTGGGCCTGCAGTTCCTCTTCCTCGAGCCGAATGCGGAGGATCCGTTGAACAAGGGTGCGCATACTGCTACATGACTGCGCGGTACGGGTGGGGCTGACACGCTTGCAGAGGCGGCGGAAGAGCTCAGGCGAGATCGCGAGGCGTTCGCCAAGAACGCCGCGCTCTCCATGCGCGGGGGCACGATCCGCGGGCAGACGTACGAGCGCGTGCTCCCGAGCTCATAAGTCGTCCGCCAGCCTTTCTCCGATTCGCTTGCTCGATTGGCCGCCGCGCCTAGGCGCATAGATCACACTCGCACTGTACTCTGCGCAACCTCCCTGCGCCCGGACCCGATCGGGATGCCATAGTGCATGTAGTGCATACCCACTTCTCTGTAATGCCTGTATCAATGACCATGGAATTTGCTACAATCGGCTCCGGTTTCGTTGTTAAAGTACATTCGCGAGTGGCGATAAAGTACACTATGTCGGGTTCTGACGGTGGCATGGCCAATGGGTCTTATCGCGCTGGCTCGGGGCCTAGCTCCCGCGGTACGTGGTGTACGAGTACGGGCTCAACAGGAGGGGGATATGATAGTGCTCCTCGGGGTTCTTCAACGAGAAGGTGATCTACCGCAGCCGAACCAAAGTACATCAGCAAGAAAGCTTAATGCTCCAAAGTTGGCGCGAGTGCACACCTCAACGACGGGGTAGAAACACTCTCGCCCTCCTTGGGCAAAGTAAGCGCCCGTGTCGAAGCACACCTTGTACGTGCCGGGCACGAGCTTGCCCCCGGGCAGCAACGTTGAGCACCGGCCATCGGCGTCGGTTTGACTACGAAATGTCGGTTAGTCTAACGAATCCAACGCGGTGCTGGAGAGCGGGGGGACGCACGCCGTTCCGAGCAAGGAGGCCAGCGGGATCGGGTCGTCGTACGACTGCAGCTGGTACACGCGCAGGCCGATCCCCGCGCCGGGTTTGCCAAGGACCGAGTCGAGCACTGGCAATGGAGTTTAGCTTCGACGTCGGTGCGTAGTGCTGAGAGGGGGGCGCACCGTGGCAGGTTATGGGGGATTTGGCCATGGGAATGAAGGTGGTGTGGTCGGTGGAAAGCAAAGAGAGGGGGAGTCGCACTCCGGGTGGAACCAATAAGTAGGCGATGGGAGCGAGGGAGGAGAGTCCCGCGATTGTGAACACGGGGATTCGGATGACTTTTGAGAAGGAGAAACGATGCCCGAGGGGGCTTCTGTGCAGGGGTATGAACCCGGACTATAGCAGAGATATGTTCTAGGTGGCAGTGATAGGACCAAAATATGTCACGCCCACATCTACCTCTGCTTAGCTCAGTTGGAAGAGCGTGGGACTGTAATCGGATCGAACCAGCTAAAATCCCAAGGTCGCTAGTTCGAACCTGGCAGCAGAGATAACTTCCTTTTTCCCACGTTCAAAATGGGGCAAATGCAGTGCTTTTGAAGCCGGGGAGGAGGATGCGGCGGGCGAGGAGGCCGGTCGGGCCGGTCAGGGTCTATTCTGGTCGGTTTTGAGCCCGGAAAGCCGCTGTGAACACCTGGAACGCCTGAAAGGCGACCTGGAGACTTGTATGAGGTGCCAGTGGAAGCATAATCTTGGACAAGCTGGTGTTGTTGACCTCCGGAGAGAAGTTGCAAGTCTGGCGCAAGTTTCGACAACGGCCGGTGAAAGATTTTACCTCCCTCAGGGCTGTCAGGGTCCTGACATTAAACTTTGCGTTCAACTATCGACCTGCCGGAGACTGTAGAGACTGAGACATTAGCGCTGGACCGATCGGGACGCTAACGGGGGCAAATTTGTTGGGACGTCACATTCTGGCAAGGCGCGTCGAGGGCCCTTGCCCCCCGCGCTGCCACCCACATTGAGCAAGCCCACACTTCAGCAACCACCTCGGCACTCAATCTTCCTTACAGCTGCGACGACCATCCCTTTTTCTCCAAGAGACCCGTGTTGACGGTGGGGGCATCTGTCGCGTGTTCATTCTCTGACCACTCGCTCCTGTGCGACTCGGAGTCATGGCTACCAAGCCGGCTACCGCTCCACCTCCTCCAAAACCCCTCGTGCCCGAAAGCTGGTTCGATGTAGCGTCTCAGCGCTCGTACGTGATCGGCATGGCCGTTCTGATACAGGTGTGTACTCTTCAACTCCCTCCCCGGGATTTGCTGACCCGCATATAGAGCGTCAAGTTGTACGAGCTGCTTCGGCACTACGTTCCCCAGTTATCCGGCTCGTCCTTGTCCACATTGCTCTACTGGTGGAGCTTTGTGGACACGGCTTGTATCCTGCTCGTGCCGCTGCTGCGAATACCGTGGCTCATGCCGCCGCTGAACGTGCGGCTCCGCCTCGTCTTCGTCGCGCTTCTGTTCAATTGGCTGCTTATGGGCAACTACAAGGTATGCGCGTTGCCCCAGATTTGCGCTCAAGGCTAATAGCATTTAGATACCTACCAACGTTCTTATACCCACGTCTGTTCGGGGTACGTCAGTTATCTTTACATTCGCTTGCCCGTACTGATGCATTTTCAGGCATGTTTGACTACCAACTTTCTATTTCGGAGCATCGTGTGCGCGTACAAGATGTGGTGCAGCCGCGTTCGCATATTATGGGACAGCATACAGTCCGCCTTTCTCCCGTCAGGTGCGTATATGCACCTTACGTGCAGAGACTGGAACTCATAGTCCTGCAGCACTGCCGAGCTCAACCCACAAGGCATGCGGTACTGTTTCGCCGCCGGCCACAAGTCCATCAGCATCCCCGTGCTCGTAAACAATACCGTCCCCCACAGCATCAAGTTCAGTATTGAGTCTCTGGACGACGCGTCCGACATCCGGTATATCTCCGTTGACCGACATGGATTGGGAAACCTCGCCTTGGTTCAGCGGTACCCGTCGGGCATGCCAGAAGAAGAGTTCGGTCCCGAACCACCGCAGCGCAAGGTAATCGAGTCGAACCCTGAGGGTCAGACGCCGTTACAGCTGGAAGACACAAAGGGTCTGGTGTACATCAAGGTGGATCGCCCTGGTATTGTACGGCTCGACAGTATTCTCGACTCTGAAGATGAGGAGATCCATATTGCTGGCGGCACCATTACCATTCCCGAGTGTCCGAATGTCAGCCTCGAAGTGGACTCACGCGAGCCACATGCTATACCGAAATGCCAAGGAGACACCTTCGAAGGCACCTTGGTAGTGAAGGGAATGCCACCGTTGTCCGTGCACTACTGGAGAGAGTTTGATGGGAAACGGGAGGACCTGTATGCAAACGGGATAGATGATGACTTGAATGTGCGCATATTCTCTCTTATGCTCCATCTATCGTACTCAACGTCCACTCAGACCTCGCGAGGCGCTCAAGTTATCCAAGTTCCTGTGCCGCTTGAGCTGCCCAAAGCCGGATCCTACTCGTATGGCTTGACGTCGGTCACTGATGGCCTTGGCAACACTGTGACTGAAGGGCATTTACCAAGTGCCAGCTTGAGCAGCTTTACTGTCAATGTACTTTCCCAACCGAATGTGCAATGGACTACCTGCTCTGTCGAACGACCGAGGAGCATGGCGAAAGGAGCGTCAATGAGCCTGCCGCTACGAGTCAGCAACGGCAACGCGTCTGACGCGCCTTGGGACGTCCAGATTCAGCACATCTCTCCCGATGGCAAGGCATCCAAGCAGCTGCGTCCTGTCTCGTTCCACACGCTCCGCACACAGAGCATAGAGGTCACCGAGCCCGGCGATTATACCCTGACTGGCGTCGGCGGCAAACTGTGCGATGGTATTGTTAAGGAGCCGGAGGTCTGTCGTGTGCTTGTCTGGCCCGAACCTAGCATGCAGGTAGAGTTTGAGCCTATGGTTGATAAGAACTGGTAAGTGCATGCGCTGGCACTTACTGAATACTACTCTTACTAACATACTTTCCAGCGAGGTGGAGACGGGCTTCATGGCGCATATAGTCTTCCAGGGCACGCCTCCGTTCTACATTTCCTACAGTGTCAAGAAAGACGGCCGCGTCGTGGATACCCGGAATATCCCCAACATCCAGAACACCCAGTACGACCTGCAGCTAGAGCCCAATCAAGGTCCCGGAAGTTACCAGTACAGCCTAACCGAGTTCGGCGACAATCACTACAAGAAGCAGAAACCGGCACAGCAAACCAGCACCGCGACGCAAGTCGTGCACACACACGCAGACGCTGACTTGGTCCGGCCTTCCGCGCAGCCTCTCAAGCTATGGTCCTGCTCTGGGGATAGCCTCGATATCGATCTCAAGCTCCAGGGTGTCGCACCGTGGAATATCGAGCTCCAGATCTCGAGCCCACATGAAACCAAGCCGCTCCGCCTCACGGGCATCACCTCCAAGGACTATCAAGTCAGTATCCCTCTACCGTCTGATGTTCATGAATATGGCGGACACTTCGATATTGCTCTGGGTACGCATGTCCTGTTTGTGCATCTTTACCTTGCTCATCCGAGTAGTAAGCGTCGAGGACAAGAAGGGATGCCGCCGTGCCTTGAACCGCCCACGAATTGGGGTGGATGTGTCTCGTAACAAAGTGCGCTGTGGTGGAATTTACCCCGCCTATACTGGAATTCACATGTTTCTAGGCAACAGCAAGGTTCACCGGTGCTGCAGCTGGAATGAGGGATGTTCATATCATCCAGGGCAAGTCCACCAAGCTACCTGTTCGTGTGACAGGAGACGGGGTACGTTCCATCATCGCCACTTCATTTTGTGCAAAACTAAAGATTGTCCAGCCAATACGAGTGCGGTGGGAGAATCTTGACGATGGTGTGCCTCACTGGACCACCGTCAGAGGCCAGAGCGAGGACTTGACTGTTTCTCACGCCGGGAGGTACCGCCTCTTGGAGGTTGTCGATGCCCATGGCTGTGCAGGCTACTGCGACGAGCAGATCTCCGCGCCGATCACGTTCATCGATCGTCCTTCTGTACACTGGCCTACTACGGCTGGTGAACAGGTCCAGAATGGAAAGATTGTCCGGAAGGCGATCTGCGAAGGTGGCTCTGATCACGTCGACCTGGAGCTGTCTGGTAGGCATGCAGACCCACTGGAGCGGCACAGTGCTGACCAATTTGATAGGAACGCCTCTGTTCACTGTGAACTACAAGCACGAGCTTGAGGGACACGCCTCGGAAGCGCCGCCGCTGGAAATTGCAAGCCCTTTAAAGTCCGCCAGAATCGAACTCGTTTCCTCGCCACCTGGGAAACACTTATACTCCATCTATGGTATGAAGGATACCAATTACGATATTCGGACCCCCAACCTGCCATCCCTGGAGCAAGAAGTTTTGGCTAAGCCATCTGCCTCATTCAAATCGGACGCTCGCCTGCCATTCTGCTTGCATGACTCTCTCATTCGCCGCAAAGGATTCCCGAACGCAGAACTCGCTCTCAAGGGTAAAGCGCCCTTCGAAGTGACCTTGTCGATCAAGAACTCGGATTCCACGTCACGGCGAACCGAAACCATCCTTGTAACCTCGAATCAATGGGATGTGGAGTTCCCGGCGTACACGTTCGACAAGATTGGGCCCCATGCCGTCCGGATCGAATCGGTCAAGGACGCTAATGGGTGTCCTGAGATGCCTTCCGAATCCGAACAGCGATCCCTCTTCATGGATGTTGCCGAAACAGCTGCAATTCTGCCAATGGAGACCCGCACCGACTATTGTGTAGGCGACACCCTGCAATATCAACTCGAAGGAACGTCGCCTTGGATTGTCACATACGATTTCAATGGGCGTGAAAGCCGACCGACATCGAAGTCTGCCAAGTTCAGCCGTGTGGCGGAGAAAGCGGGTACTTTCACAGTCAAATCCATCTCGCATCAGAACAACCTCTGTATTACCCAAGTTGACAGCGTCAAGGCGGTCATTCATGATTTGCCATCTGCCATCATCTCTCCTGGTCGGGCGTCAGTGGAAAGCATCAGAGAAGGAGATCAGGCGGAAATTGTCTTCGCCTTTACCGGCGAGCCCCCTTTCACCTTCACATACCAACGATCGGAGATCAGCAAGAAGGGGAAGGCTGGCAAGGTGTTGGAGACACACACGATCACCGGTCATAAAGACAAGGAATACCGTTTCTCTTCAGCATTGGAAGGTGCGTTTGCAGAGTGTCCGCCTCAGTGTTGTCACTGAATGAGGATTTCACAGGAACGTGGACTGTTACATTCGTTGCTGACAAGTACTGTCGATACCCGCCAGTTCCGCCCTCCACAGAGGTCACCGTTGAGACAATATAGCACCATATCACCACCTTTATTCATCGCATGTTCCTTGGCTTTTACGCAATTCTTTTGCGATCTCAATCGTCTGCAGCAATCCCACATACTGTATTTATATCAATGGCTAATGCAATTTCTGTCTCATTTCAACCTGATTG